TATCAGTTTCTGTTAAGAGATTTTATCAGTTTGGTTATGTTTATGAGAGTCCTTGATTTTATCTGACAGTTTGAAAACAACAAACTTTCAACGATTCTTCTTGGTAGTTCGAATGAAGAGCTGGAGAACAATTTTGAGGTATACAATCTGCTACTGTTATTTCTTTTTATGTTTGTGCTTCAAATCTGTCTCTCAACACCAGTTTTGTAGTAGTAGTAGTTTCATAGAAGTAGAAGGATGACTAAGTTGCATGTGTATCGGAGTGTAATAGTTCCTTGTTGATTAGTAATTAGAACACTTTCAATAGGTGCTTCTTGTTTCCTAGGAACAGAGCAACATAGGAAAAGCAAAGCAGATGCAAAAGAAACAATGTCTTCATGAAATAGATTTAATTGTGCTATATGCTATCATATATATAATAAGTAGTATTGATTAAACTGGCAGCAAACCAACTGTACTAGCTTTTATATATGTATGCTCAATTTTGTTTGTTCTTTCTTCGCTTATTATATTAAGTACTTTCTTTCTTAATGTTATTTAGTTATAATGTGACATGAATTTGTGGTGAATGAAGATGCAGCTTGCAGCAAGCTAATGAACTAAAGTATGAAGTTGTTGGTATGGATTTAACTTGGAAGATGATGCAACAAGCTGATTTTTTATATATTATCCTTTTGATTTAGTCTTGAACAATTAGTCTTTCCAAAATTTCAATTAATCTTTTACACGTTTTGGAGTTTAGTTGAAGAAGTTTGCTTAATGCTTTAGTATTTGTGTACTTGCTTTAAGATGGTGGTGAATGGTGAACCGTGAATGATTCCAGTGCATACTTGGTTTATTATTTATGTATAATTGTATGGAAGAATGGGGAAGGGCGGATATGAAGATCAAGACATGTGGCATGGGTCAGAAGATCAAGACCTGTGACAGGTCGTGGGGCGGGACATGGCGAGTTTCAAATCGGCAGGGCATGTCTGGGTATTGCAGTATCCGACTTGTTCTGGACCCATTGTCACCCCTACTTCTGATTACAAAATAACTAGTTTTTTGAGGGAAAAAAAAACAAAACCTCAAAATACCCAAATTATAAAAAAAATCTCACAATACAACACTTTAAATTCTTTTTCCAAAATGCCTAAGTTTCATGCAGTTCACTATACAATAAAATGAACCACCAAACAGTTCACGTGGCAGAGGAGCGAACAACGATATTCGCTGATAAAGAAAGTGAACTCAAAGTGGTTCGCGGGTGTACAAAGTGAACCACTCGCTCCGGTTTGCTGGTATGCAAAGCGAACAACGTTGGTTCGCTGGAAAAGTAAGTGAACTACAGTGGTTCGCTACCTAGGAAAACCACTTGAAATAAACCTTTCTGTCAACATATTTGTATTTAGTTCGCCTCCAGTTTAAGTGAACAACATTGTTCGCTGCACTTAATTTCGTAAAGTCTCTTTCCTCCGACAATGTCCCAGGACAGGGCGCAGGGATAGGGTTTGCTAGTTGGAGTGGATCGCTGGGGTGGGCAGCAAACTACTCCTCAGTGAACGAAAATAAATATCAAGCATCCTTTCAGCTCATTCCTCTCTTCATTATGCAAAAAACAAACAACAAAAAGAAGCTGAAAGAGCAAGATATTTTTAGTAAAGAAGGAGGTGCATTGAGCTTCCTGTCATTGGAAGGCAAGTTTGTTTATGTTGGTTGTAACATGGTTTACATTATCTTTTGAATGCAGTTTGAATGTAGATTAGGCTTTTGGTTTAACATTTTTTTAATGCTTGGTTGATATATTTAGGTTGAGTTGTACTGTTTGTATTTTTAATATATGTTTTATTGGTTTGTTGAAGTTTTGTAATTTTAACATATGTTTTGTTTTGTTGGTTGTAACATGGATTGAATTAGCCTTTGAATATAGGTTAAATATGGATTAGGATTTTAGATTAACATTTGGCTTTATATTTATATTTAGGCTTTGAAGTGTATGTAATTTTTTGTGTTGTAAAATGCAAAAATGGAAATGAATTTCAAAAAGTTCAACCTATAGATTCGGTGGAATGGTCTAGTGACAACATTTCAGAATAGTTTGGACTATGAAGATGGTGATGCAAGCACTGTATGGATTGAGAGCATATTTGGTAGGCAAGATCTATTCTATATTTGTGAGCAAAGGTGTTGCATAGGTGGTCATCGAAGAGTATGTAAGATGTCATATCAGATGCTAGTTTACGATGGATATGCAATGGTGTATGAAGAATCAATCGTGCATGATGATGATGGAATTAATATGATGTTGGATTTCATAGCAGAGACCATATTTTGAATTGTTGAGGGGTACATCAAGATAGAAGAGGTAGGCGAGTATGGCAGTAGTGGTAATGTCGAACACGGTGAAGGTTCTGGTGGAGTTCATGGTTTAGGTGGCAATGGAGGTTTGGATGGCGTACCATGGCCAAGATATGAAGCTCATGTTCCTCCTGGTCTAACAGTTGAATATGATGGACAAGAATGGACAGTATGGGGTGAGGAATGGGTCAACATAGGAGCATCCACACAAAAATTGGTTAGTATGATGATCATTGTGGGGATAAGCGAAGTCCTATCCCCAAAAGTGAGGAAACTGGCATAGAAGATTTAGTCAATGAGAATGAAGATGATGATGATAATGACGCAGATGAGGTGGTTTCAAGCCTCTCACACCTCACTACACGATGGTGCCACAACATCCTCTCTATGCTCAAAATGACGATCTTAATTGCCCTTCTGCGCTCATTTGGAGTTCTACATATGTGGTTTTGCACAGTTTTTGCTAGAAATGAATAGGTAGTGTTGGAGGAAAGTTCTTTATGGAGAGCATTGTTTGTTTAAGGATAAGTGGCATGTGTTGTAATCTCTAGTACCCACCCCCCTAAAAAAATGAAACGAAAAAGAGGTAATAAAACGGGGTAAATAAAAGTAGAAAGTCACCACAAAACTCTAAGTGTATGCTCTTAGAAGGGTTTCTTGGCACTCAAGCCGTTGAAACACCTAAATTGTTTGATGACCTCCTTCACTACTAGGTTTGAAATGTCAATAGAAAGAAGAGATCGGGTAGTGTGCTTGAATGAAGTTCGTGATTGGTAGTGGTTTGGAAGAAGGGAAGAGTGGTCTTTGGCCGATGCTAGTGGTCGTTGATTTTAGGAAAGGTTCTTAGTCGAAACCATGAAACCTTTGGTTTTAGGTTGAAGATGTAGGACCTTATGCCAAGTTTGCCACTACCCAAAAAGCTTTTCCCCCATGTCCAAGACAATTGCCAGTCATTTGAACACGTGTCTAAGACCTCTGGACAAGCTAGTGATGACAACCACCCCGTGAACTCTAGCATTTAGAGGTTGTCGTCATGGTGGAGAGACGATAGGGCTGAATGTTGATGGTTGTGCACATCTTTTGCACCAAAAAGGTCTTGACCCCACTGGCCGAGAGTGAGTAGTTTAATTCTTGTTTTGCATGTTCATATCTTACCCCGGTGAGGACCTTTGTCGCCCTTTCGTTTGTTCCTTGGACTTGAGTTCTGCATGGTGAGTTATGGTTGGTGAGTAGTCCGGTCGAGACTTGCATTGATTTATGAACAGGGTGAGAAATTTTCATTTTCCCATTCTTGATGTATACGAATGTCATTTGTGGTGGATGTCGGTATTGCTTGAGGAAGTTCATGGAGCGAAGCAGAAGTGTACCCTGGAAATTAATCCTCACAAAAAAAATGACATGACGAGATAGAAAAATGCGTTGGGTGTTAGGGTCAGCATTTATAAGCGCTACGTTGAGGACAATAACCAAGGAAGATACAAGGGCGGGAACGGGGCACAAGTTTGTGAGGAGAATATGAAAAAAGCCAGGGATAACAAAGACAACCAAAAACTCGAAGTTTATGATAGTTAGGGGATAAATTGAAGAGAAGAGTGTAGGGAATCTTACCACATAAGGCCGAGGATGGAAGTCGATTAATGAGATAAATGGCAGCTGAAAAGGCATAGGACCAAAAGGACGTGGGAAGTTTGGCATGATGAAGAAGTATAATACAAGTTTCAACAAGATGACGGTGTTTGCGTTCTGCAAGACCATTATGCTCAGGTGTATGAGGGGGAGTGGAAGATGAGTGATGCCATGATTAAGTAGATCATGACGTAATTTTTGGAATTCACCACCCCCATCCGTGTAGAGACAACAAATAGTGGTAGAAAAGCAATTTTCAACCAATTTCTTGAAATCGAGAAAAACTTGGAGGACATTGGATTTACGACGTAAAGGATAATACCAAGTATATCGAGTGAAATGATCAATAATTACTAAATAATAGCAAAAACCATCAATAGAAGTAACGGGTGCAGGCCCCCAAACATTTGTGTACAAGAGATCAAAAGGACGCTTACTGGATAATGAAGACACCGAAAAAGGCAGTTTGTGACTTTTATTTGAGAGACAAGCATCACAGGAAGAGCTAACTACCGATGATGAAACTAGAAGAGAAAAAGATCGGAGAAGACTGGTAAGAGAGTGATGAGGTTCGAGCGTGCCAAGATCGTGTAGAGGTCCGAGTAGTAACCATGGCCAATCGAACATTCTCCACATCATGAGGCAATTCATAGACGTCACCATTGTTTTTCCCTTTCAGCAGATGCGCCCCCATGCGAAGATCCTTCACAACAAAATGAGTGGCAAAAAATTCCACAGAGACAGGATTGGTTTGGCATAATTTAGCGACGGAAATAAGATGACTCTTGATAGTAGGATAACATAATACATCTTTGAGATGAAAATGATTGGGACCAATAGAAACAGTGGAAGAGCCAATATGAGTAATTGCCAAACCTGAACCATCACCAACAAGAATTTCTTCAGGGCCCGTATAATCAGAGTAGAGAGAAAGATTGCCCAAATCAGAAGTCACATGATGAGTAGCAGCACTACCCATAAGCCAAGGCCCAACAGATTGAGTAGAACCCAGGGTAGAGGTGGTATGATGGACTTGGGCCTTGCGGGCTTGATTAAAGGCCTGACGGGCCTGAGGGAATAGCTTAAAACATTGGTGGACTGTGTGGCCCGTCCACTCACAATATTGACAAACCACCATAGGCCTGCGTGGGCGAGTGGACTCATGAGAAGTATGGGGGCCCTGGGAAAAAAGAGGACGACCTGGGCCTGAGTTATCAAAGCCCAAGCTCAAGCTCGGATGCTGCTGGCGAGGAGGGTTGGGACGCGCAAAAGATTCGCTGCCACCGTGAAATTGAGAGACGCCACTGCTGCTGGAAGGTCCGCCACCACCGTGAAATTGAGAGACACAACTGCTGCCGCGGCGAGAAGAGCCAGAGGTGTAAAAGGCAGTGGGAACAGCTGAAACCCGCTGTTATTCTTTCAAATCGGCTTCATACTCAATCAACGAATCCAAGAGATCCTCAATTGTGACGGTGGTTCCTCTAGCACGGACTGCAACGACGAACTGATTGTAATTAGGACCGAGACTGCGAAGAGTGTGAACTACGAGATCAAGATCTGACAATGGAGCATCAACGAGAGCAAGTTCAGCAGCAATAAGTTTCATATCATTCACATAAGTGAGAACATCCTTAGCACCCTTGGCAATGAAACCCAACTTCCCTTTAAGATTGATTAAACGAGATTGGGAACGATTGGCATAAAGTTTCTTCAGAATTAGCCAAGCATCATGAGATGTGGCAGCAGCAAAGACATATGAGTAAAGAGAATCAAAAATAGAGCAGCGAAGGGCATGGAGAATCAGCTTATTTTGCCGATACCAATGTCGATATACAGGATTGGGAGCAGCAACAGTTGTGTCATTTGCAGCGATTGTCTGAGGAGGAGGGGCGCCAGTGCCGTCGATGAAGTGAATAAGCTCTAAACCCATAAGCAGGGTCTCTAACTGAGCAGCAGGATTGAAGGTGATGATGGGTCTTGAGACCTACCAGCATTCAGATTGGTGGAAATCGTGGTTCTTGACATGATTTGCCGGCAAGAAGCGAAGAAGATGAAGAAGCAGATCAATAGGCAAAGAATTGCAGATGGATCGAGATTAGCTGATTGTTGCTAATGCTCTGATATCATGAAAGATATTTTAGGAGTGGTATTGTTGCAAAACAACTGACTTGATTTTATTGAGATTTTGCGAAGCTAATTATATACATACAGGGGAGTGTTTGTAGCAACAGAAACAACCCATGTTCCTCAAAGGTAGGAACGAGAGGGAGAGAGGTAACAGAAGAGGGAGAGAATAAAAAATAAAAAATAAAAATCAAGATGCTTTTTGGGAGTGATCTCTAATACTAGCAGCCCCTGCACTTTACTTCTAGTTTTCAAGAGCTTTAACCATAACCAAGAACAAGATTTATAGGTTATAAACCAAAAATCTTGGTTATGCAACCTATACTCTCAAATCCAGGCAACCCAAAGAGATCCTTGCTTTATTAACAGGCCCCAAATGTGCCTTACAATGCATGCCAGATTCCAATTACAGAGGTCTCTCAGACCTAGACTACCCTTCTTTTTAGGATAAGTGATCATGTCCCATGGTACTACTGCTCTTTTCCTGTCGTTTAATCCAACACCCCATATAAAATCACTACATAAATTTTCGATCTCCCTTGTAAAAAGCTTAGGTAAAATGAAAATCACCATCCGAAAAATATAGACAGACATGACAAGGTGTATTTTTCCAGCATAGCTAAGTGTTTTGCCCCCAACCTTGTATCTTACTCGTGAGTCTTTCAACTAATGGTCGACAGGCTTTGATCGTCAGTTTGCCAGGTGTTAGAGTGACTCCCAAGTATCTTGCTAGGTCAAGTAACTAATTTTTGTAGGCTAATCACCAATCACCCAATCACCAAAATATGATCTTCTTCGGTGACTAGCATACACCAATCAGCCAAACACAAACAAACAAACGAAACTTAACATTTATTTTGTTTAGGAGAAATTTATGCAATCATATAATAATATAGAATAATATGGTCTAAATCACATAAATTTTGTGTGATATTAGTTGTCTTGAAAATTTTGAAAGAACGAGGAACTACATCATCCGCTCAAACCTTTTGGTTAGTCATTTCTTCTACCGAGCAATAGTTTTTGTCAATTGAACTAAAAGCAGTACAATATGGGTAAGAAAATTCTCAACACTAATTCCAAAACATTTTTTAGTCTACGTCTTTAGTTTTTGTCTATGCGAATTGAAGAATTCATCCTCTAATTTATCGCCAATCCTTATGAAATTTTCATGTTATATTTAAGGAAAAAAAACGTATGTAATGTTAAAATTGGCACTAATAGCTAGTTTTGAAAAAGTTAAAGAGAAAGGATTTGTTAAGCTTTTTACGCTTTGTCCATGAAAGCCATCGAATTAATTGGTAGTTTATTTAAGAAATTATGTTTACAACATATTGTCATCTATCAAACTGGAGAGACTAAAAGTTCAAAGTAACGTAGAAATATTGTATAAGACATGTAAAATTTTAGTAAAAAAATAGAAGTGATGAATATGAGATATGTGGAAGTAAAAAATCTGAATCAATCATTATATTTATACTCTTCTTCAGGGGCGGCGGAGCCAGGATTTCGAGACCGGGTGGGCCGAAAATAGATAAATGTAAATAAAAATAAAATAATTATTTTTAAAGTCTACAACGTTCTTTGATATCATTGAAATCTCTAAAAATAGCATCCGAACTAAAAATTTTAGCTATCTTCCTTTCAATATAAATAACTAAATCATTAACAAGAAACTCATCATTTATTTTGTTTCGCAATCTATTCTTCACTATCTTTATACCTGAAAACATGCACAATCACATGTAGCTTTAGAAATTTGGAAGAGTTAGAAGAAGACAAATCAACCTGTCCACAAAATAAAATTCATTTGACACTAATCTTTCTGTTCATTCCGACATAGATAAAAAAAAAAATAGATCTAATAGTTTGTATAAAGAGCTAAAAATCCCAAGTGAACTAAATAGAAGTTGATTTTTTCATTTGTAGCTGGATTAAAGTAACAAAAAGAACGAAAAGTAGTGGTTATCCGTTTGCTTTGGTCCAGAACCTTGTGGAGGAGAATTAAGATAATAAAGTCCAAAAAGAAGTTAAAGCAAAAATGAGGTTGTTGTGGATCGAACCTATTTGCTTTAGGCTAAAAGTTTAGCTTAATTACCAGTAAACTACATGATTGTTATACAATACAATGTATAGGTCGAACAATACTTATCCAAATTTTATCTAAATATTCTTACGATCCTAGGGGCCGAGACTATTCCCAGGTGGGCCGGGGCCCACCCTACTCTCTGAGTAGCTCCGCTCCTGCTCTTCTTCCCTAGGTGGGATCCTGTCACCGCCCCCTAGGGGTTGCAAATTTCACAACCAAGGGTAGTTTGGGTATAAAAAAGGAGAGCACTTGCTGGTTAGTAGTTCTGATGAGCCCTAGATGGGTCTCTTTTGATCACAGTAAGCAGCCTCCTCAATTCATCGATTTGAATCAAGAACTCACACAAAAATAGGGAGGATTTTGTGCATTTTGGATGGAAATCTCGTGCAACTTTCACAAGGGAAAGAGGCTCGAAGATTATAGGTCGATGCTTGGCCACGATCAGGGTGGTAACTGATCGATACAAGCTCTCAAAACAACCTAGAACTCCTTCTAAGTTGTTCAATCAACTCACGTAGCAAAGCTAGATGAATCAAACTCTAGTTTGTATTAAACTGAACGAAATCTACCTATTATAATGCAATTGGAAGGTTTAAATAGAGCTAGGCTAGGTAAACAAACAAGGAAAAAGAAGTCTAAACACAATCTTACTCTGAATCAAAGCTCAAAACAGAAAAGGAAAGTAATCATAATCCGAGAAGGATTCGAATTTGCAAGACAAACTGACAAAGCCTTCATACCATCTTGCAAGGGTTCTGCACAAAGCGCCTGGATCGACTATCAACCAATTTTCTTGAAGAAGGCTCCAAAGTTGAGTATCCAAACTGACTTTCATACTTATCCAAAAACTGGCAGATTCTCAGTTTTGGCATAACAACTTGAAGAGCTTTGAAAATGGCCTTAATGACTTGTTCCCGATCTTCCAAGCCTTCAACCTTGTAGTTCAACACTTGATCTTCAAATCCATCCCTTAACCTCAAATTTCCATTCAGCCCTTAGCCTCTCAGCTATATCTTGACATGTGTGAATAGAGCATGTATTTTGAGAAGCAAACTCTGCGACAGACTACATAGCTTCTTTAGGCCACTCCTTGGCATTAGGTTTACATTATTTTACAACTCCTTACTACGCTATGAGTCACTGACTATACTTTGATAATATTGAGGTTTAAACACCATGGTTAGTTAGTGGATAAAGGTTGGCACGCCCTTTAAGTGCTCCGTTTCATACAAAAGAGGCGATGGGTGGGAAGCGTGTGAATTATGGTTTTTCCTTGGGTAAATTACATGTTTTATCACTTAGTCTAAGATTTTTTTCATGTTTGCCATCCAAATTATTATCCTTTCTTACTAGTCACTAACTTTACACTTCATTTTATCGATGGTCACTCGCCATCCAACTTTGTTAAGTTTATCCTAAATGACAATCAACTGTTAAGTTTGACCACTAACTTGCTTGTGTGTTGGTAAAAAATTTAAACAATTAAAATCAATTAGAACAATAAATATATAATGAGAGTGGGAAACTCTCTGCCTCTACCCTTCCCTCCACCATCGTCGAACCCGCCTTTACACCTACACTACCCTGTCGCCAGCTCATCACCAAATCCGATGCCAGACCCTCCACCCTTCTGAAACCCCTTCTCCTCCTCTTCATATATCCCCACCAAGTCTCTTGCCAAAACCCTCCCCACCAAAACCCGAAAGTAGCCAAACACAAAGACGACAAGCCTCTTACTACTTCCCTTTCCCATTCTCGCCTTCTATTCCGGAATCAATATTTTAAAATGGAGGGGAAACTTTATTTGGGAGAGTATGATAAAAATGAGGTAAATTGCAAGGTTGGTCATTGGGATTACTAAAAAAATTTATTTTTGTTCAATGATATTTTCAAAACAGTCCCATCATCGCCGTCCCCGTTAACGGAGAGCGTTATATGCTGACGTGGTAGATAGAATCATCTAGTCAGACTAATTTAACCCAAAATTAGTAAAACTCGACCCACCACGTCACTAAGACCCGGCATGTCATCCTGCCCAACCCAACCCTTTAATCAAAGACATGAACCCCCTCTATGTTTATTATATGGCTTTCTATCCACAACAACTTTTCTTCTTCTTCTAGCGACGACTTAGGGAACCCAAGCAGATCGCCACTACAATCAACCTAGGTGAACCCAACTTTTCTTCTTCTTTCGACGATGACCCGGGCCAACCCAAACGTATCACCTCTACAAACAACCAGGACCCAAGAACTTTTCTTCTTCTTTCCACGGTGACCCGGAAAACCCAAGAAGATCCCCACTGCAATCAACCTAGCCAAACCCAACACCCACTGTCTGTGCCGAAATCGATGAACCCATCCAAAATTTGTTTTTAGGGTTTTAATTTCTGGGTTTTGGGGTTTTGTTTCGTACTGGTTTTGGAGTTCTGCCTCAAACTTCTACATAAAACCTTTTGGGGTATGAGTGATTCTTCTTTTTTGTTATGTAACACACCTATTCAATCAAACCATAGTTTTCATCGAAACCCTAATCTAGTCCACCATCTCTTCCTTCAATTTTATCTTTTCACTACTCCATTGATTCCAAATCTACGATTCTGTATATTCCTTTGATTCTGTCTTTCACTGCTCCATCTTCGTCTTGATTTTAGGAATCTGAATCTCTTCTCCGGGCGCCCACCCGCACCCTCAGTGACTTTTTGCAACCGTATGAAATAGCCCCTCGAATCCCTAGAGCCCCAACCCTAGTCTAATTAGTTT